TACAGTCATTCTGATATAAATATGCTGCTGTTTAAAACTTATGTTTTCATAAACCCAAAAGATTCTCTTAAGTTCCAGAGAGCCGAATAGAAGGATCCACCTTAAACAGATCAGATACACCCCTCTCAATTCCCTGGTCCTAAATTTTTTTTTTTCTGTAAACTTAACTTTGTCCTCTGTTCTGCCAATACCTAAAACAGGTGTAAGAGACATCAGACAGTTCCATACCATAAACATCAGACAGGAGCAAAGAGACCAGCTACACCAGGATGTAACCAGCACCCAGCTTTCTCAGGTTCCCCCTCAAGACACCCACAAAAAAGCAGGAAGCACTCTTGAGAATCCGCCATCCCAATTCTTTTAACTTGTTGTGCCTAGCCTCCCATCTTTTTATCATAAAAAAGAGACGGAAATGTAATGGTCTGTCTTGTCTCTTTAAGAGACAAGCCCTGCCAGCCCCTCCCCCATCTGCTGAGGCAAGCAGATCTTCCTTCTGCTTCCAGTCTGAGTCCCTTCCTTTCCCTCTCTCTCCTGAAGAGGCAGCTTCTGCCTCTCTCCCTTCTCCCCACTTTTCCCCTCACCCCCCTTCTCCCTTCTCCCCTTCTCGCTTTCCCCTCTGTAATCCACTAAATAATTACCCACTTTCTCTGCATGGCGTGTCTAATAGATCTCTGCCTCTCACCCACCCCATGGCTCTCACCCGCCACGCAGCTCCCTTCCTAGGACCCACTGGCCCTCATGGCCCACGGGCCACTCGGGGAAAGGTGTCGTTTTACTTTTACCATAACACCAGCTCCTTCTGGACACCAGCAACGGCTGTAGGTCTCAGGAGACTGTGATAAGTAGTACCCTCAACTGGACAGATCTAAATCACCTGGGTGATGAGCTGCTGGGCATGCTTCGGGCGGATTATCTTGAGTTGACTGAGGTGGGAAGATCACCCACTGTGGGTGCCACCATCCCCTACTGGGATCCTGGACTGTGTGAGTGGAGAAAGGGAGTGAGTGGCAGCATGCATTCAGTGCTCTCCCTGTTTCCCTGTTTCCCAGGTGCGGATGTGATGGGCTCAGCTGCTTCAGCCTCCTTCCTGCCAGCTTGCTTTCTCCACCAGGATGGAGGGTCACCTTGAACTGCGGACCACAGCAGAGCTTGTCTCCTTTAAATTGCTTCTGTCAGAGTATTTTAGCACAACAATGGGCAAAGAAACTCAAACAGGAATTCACCAGATCAGTTCTCCAGGGAAGCCGCTTCCTAGACAGTTAATATTCTGAGTAGGGAGAGACACAAACCATAATCATGCAAAGAAATACATAGTGGGTGAGGTGGGGGTTGGTAAAGTGTCTGAATGTTTGGGTCAATTCCCAGCGCCATATACATCTCCAGGCTGGGCTATAAAGACTCTGAAGAAAAATAGAGACTGAGGGGCTAGAGATGTGGGTCAAATGGTGCAGTATTTGCTTAGCTTGCAAAAAGCCTTAACAACCCCCACCCCCACCCCGGAGCTGGAGAGATGGTTCAGTGGTTAAGAGCAAGGCCTGCTCTTTCAAAGGTCCTGAGTTCCATTCTTGGGAACCATAGCTCACAGCCATGTGCAATGAGATCTGATGCCCTCTTCTGGCCTGTAGGCATACATGCAGACAGAACACTGTATACATAACAAATAAATTTTAAAAACAAAACAAAAAGTCCTGGGCTGGAGAGATGGCTCAGTGGTTAAGAGCATTGCCTGCTCTTCCAAAGGTCCTGAGTTCAATTCCCAGCAACCACATGGTGGCTCACAACCATCTGAAATGAGATCTGATACCCTCTTCTGTCCTGCAGGCAGACACACAGACAGAATATTGTATACATAATAAATAAATAAATATTTTTTAAAAAAAAGTCCTATCCCTTGTAGGTGTGGTGGGATTCTCTAAAAGTGGAGAAAGAAGATCACAGAAGTTCAAGGCTACATGAGACCCTGCCTCCGTCGCTTCCAAAATGTGCCTGTGACTCTAAATCAATTTGACAAACGCAGTTTGGGTTTTATTCCATCAACAATTTTAATAATAAAGGAAACCAAGAGGGCCAAGCCTATCTCGTGCTGGCTTTCGTCGAGGAACTATAAACACACATATCCCCTCTTGTGTCTTCTGGGTTGCGGCAGAGAATTAAATGTCGCAGTGAACGATGGGTTCAGGAGAAAACCTTCCGGAATGAGGTCACTGTGGTTCTGCAAGGTGAAGCTAGATCCCTCCCCTAGGACCACAGGCTCGCGGAACTGGATTCGCCGGTTCCTTGGTCTCCCTTTTAACTCTCCCTGGCGCGGGCTCGTTGGAGAAGGCACCAATGGCTACTTCTCAGTCTGGCCACCAGGGGCGACAGAGAGCATCTGACTGGTTCTTCCTGAGACCTACCCAAGGCGACCCTCAGAGGCTGAAAAAAGCTGATGAAAGAATGAAGTATCTCGCATTGTTGAAACCTGAACAAACCCAAAACAAGAGCCAGACTTCGTAACTATCCCAGTTTGGGGAAAGAGGCCCTCTGATTTTGTTACCAGTCTTCGGGCTTCCCTTGCGAGTGTCGTCTGTTCTGAGACAGGATATTCCACATTGGCCAGTGCTGGCGTTATGACGCGTGAGAATACCTTGTGGGGTATTTATCTGGCCTTTCTTTCTCTTCAGTGATGGTCACATAATACAATGAGTTTCTTCACGGTTTTGTAAGTTGATTGCAGAAGGAAGTACCCTGTGCAAGCGCTCTGACCCCTGGGTGACCGCAAGCAAACTCATTACCTGACTCCCGGGTTTGAGTAATGGATTCACGGGGTTTGGGGGGGGGGGGGTACTTAGACCCTTGCTGGAAGTAGTGGCTCGCTCCTTTAATCTCAGCACTTGAGAGGCTGAGGCAGACAGAGTTCCAGGCAGGCCTGGTCTACAGAGCGAGTTCCAGGACAGCCAGGACAACACAGTGAAACCTTGTCTCAAAGGGGGAAAAAAATGCCTGGAGCATTAAGCGCTAAACAAACGTTAGCTCAACTTCATCATTTTCGCGGGGACCACTGTGGCCACTCGCCCTTTGAAGAGACATCTCCACTTTCCCACTTAAGCGGAAGTACCCCTGAGGGCTCCGGAAGTGACTTCATAGCCCCTCAGAAACATGGCCCCGGAGCGTTGTTCCGGAAGCGGTCACGGGTATCTGCGTGACGCTGACCGAGTTAGAGCGTCCCGTGGTGTTTCTATGGTGCCGTCCGCAACCCCCAGGCTCTCCGCTTCCTTTCCCGCCTGAACGCCCGGAGCTGCGAGGCCGCCGGCGGGTCCCACCCGCGAAGCAGCCAGCCACCAAGGGGAGGGGTTGGCAAGGAGCTGACGCTCTGGGCGAGCGCGCCTGCGTCTCGATGGTGCCCAGCACTCCAGCGCACCGTTCCGACTTCTCGGGGAGGACACGGCCCCTTTAACCGGCCGAGGGCGGGGCTGACGAGTTCCCGCGAGAGCGGCGGGGGGCGGGGGGCGGTGCCGAGGCGGGGGCCCGTGGCGGATGGAGCCCGCGATGGAGCCGGAGACTCTGGAGGCGCGAATCAGTGAGTGTCCGGGAGGGGCGCGGGCCGGACCGGAACCGGAACCGGGGGCGCGAGGTTGGCCCCTTTCCCGACGGGGGCGGGGTCCGCGCGCCCCCTCCTCACGCCCCGCCCCCGACCCGGGAGAGGCGGCGCCCCAGTCCGCCACTCGGACCCTGGCAGCTGCGCAGCCTGGCTGTGAGCGGGTGCCGCCCACCCACCCGGTGACCCTGAAGGCCCTAACTGCTGCACCGAAAAGTCTCCCCCTTGAGGGGTACCCCCCCAGATAAGGGCCTGAGTCTTCATTCTGCCCGCAGCTCTTGTCAGATCTGCTCATTCCCCGGTCCTGGAAGGGGTGGACTCCTGGCCAACTGATCCAGCTCTGGCCATGCTGGGACAAACTCCGAGTGCTTGAGCTTCCAAGGGTCCCGTCTCAGACTCCATAAAGAAATCCAAGTTCTCTGTCACTGCACCCAGCCCAGTCTCTCTCTACATCCCAGATTGCTTTCCTAGCCCCTCCTGAGCTTCCTCCCGAGGCCTCTCGGCCCTTGTTTCCTGTCTCCTCAGAAACAGCTTCCTACAGCTCTGGCTTCCAAGCCCCCAGCGCCTCCCTCTGCTCTCCCTGTCCCACCCTGCTGAAGATCCTTGGCTTTGCCACCCCCATTCCTAGACTCTGCCCCTGGGAGCTGCAGGCCGCCTCTTCTGGTTCATCTAGTGACAGGTCTCTCCCATGGCCTTTCTGAATGGGACTGTCCTCAGCTGAACCTCTTGGCCTCAGGCACACACAGATCTGTGCAGGTTAATGTGGGAAGTCAGGGCCAGCACCTTTGAAGCCAGTCTTGAACAGAGTTGGACCGGAGGTTGATTCCAAACCACACCGTCTAGGGGAATGTAGAGAGTCACCCTGCCAGTGGGAGGTACGGTGCTGGAAGAAGACCTAAGAGTCACTACTGCACAGGTCTCAGGATGTCAGAGGTCAAGGGTAGCTTCTAGGGAGGACCATAGATGTTTTCACCAGCAGAAGAGTCACGCCCATTTGTGAAACACCTCTCTGTTCCTCAAGTACTCCCCTGCCACATGCCAGGGGAGATGCTTCCCCCAGGTGGAGGGGGGGGACCTGTCTCCTCCAGCTCCAAGATAATTTGCTGAATGCTGGGGAGACGCTGGCCTGGGCAGTCAGGGTTTTCTCCTCCCTGCCTCCTGACTTCAGATTGACTAACTCCACCCTCCCTGGAGCTCACGTGCCTTTGACACTTCGAAGGACTTCCTGTTTTAGCCCTTTTTCCCAGCTGTCATTGAGAGGCCAGTACTCCATATAGTTTCTCTGACTCCAGACTGGAGTCTCTTTCCAGTGTTCAGTCCTTGGTCATTGTGGGGGACTGCAAGTAAATGTGCAGTCTTCACCAAGAAAGCAGGGGATGTTCCTGGTGTCACTGGAGGCTCACTGGTGACTTCTGTTCCTCTCGAGGACTGTAAGTAGGGCTCCCACAAAGCTTGTAGGATAGATTTTACCAAGATAATGCTTCTTCTGCCCTCTGCCCACCCGTATTGCCTCTGAGCGCCTAGGAGAGAACAGCCTACCCCAGTACCTTCCATCCTTTCTGCCTGCCCTGCCATTCTTTATAGCCCCTTCTGTGATCACTAATCTGAGTAGTCAGCGCTGCTTTGTTTAGGCCAGTGAGCTTCAGGAGAGCAGGGCTTTTGTCCACCACTGTATGTTTTAAAAATAAATATGGATCAGGTGATTGGCTGCCAGGCACTCAAGTGTCTAGGTCCCCAGCTGGGCAGGTGCCACATACTGGGCCCTGGCCTCCTCCTGTCTGCAGATCTTTCACAGCCTCAGCTATTGGGCTGTAACTGCACCACCAGCATGAGCAGAAGTGTCTGGGGACAAAACATTTGTCATCCAACCTGTGTTCTACAAGTGGGACCGTGGGGGCTCAGGGATCTTCACCCAGCCAGTGTTGGGGGCTCAAGAAGGGGATTATCTGGTATTACTGACCATGCTCCTCTTTGCTATTTCTTGTTCCTGCACTCCAGCTTTCCCAGGCTCGCCCTACCTGCCACTGATTTCCCCATCCGTCCATTCATTCTCTCACGCACTGAGAAGATACCTGTGTGCACAGTGGCAGGAGTGCACAGTAACATTGTAGAATGTTCCACTTGGGCCCACAGTAAAGAATAGTCAGGGACATAGCTGCTGCCATCCTGGGCAGAAGCGAAGGACTAGAGAGGATCATCAAATGAGGTGCTTCTGAGCCACTCCCCAGGGACAAGGTCTGGCAGACAGAGGCATGAGGTCCAGGGTACAGTCTTTCCCAGGTCCGTGCCCTTAGCTGGGCAGATGAGCTCTCAGCCTTGCTGGCTCCTTCCAGACTTAGCTGGATTGTTACCTCCTCTTGGCAGCTGCCCTGACCCAAGGCTGACCCAAGTCTCTTATCCTGGGTTTCTATGGTTTCTTGGCCACTCTCCTTTTCTTGAGAGCCTAGATTTTCTTGGTGCACTCCCCAGCCCTACAGTTCCTCATGGACCGGGACCCTGACCTTTTCCTTAGCCCTAAATCTCCTGAGTGCAGATTCCAGGAGAGTCAGGATGCTTTCTCGATAACAGAACAGAGATGGTAAAGTCAGCATGCTGGGCTACAACCATGGAAGGTGGTACCTGAATGTAGTCTCTGAAGATGGGGCCCTTGGGTGGAAAGGCACAGTGAGCGGCAGCTACATGTTCTTCTGCCCATTGATTCCACTGGAATGTCGGTGCTCGGGCTTGGGGCTGTCCTGCAAGAAGTGGAGGGAAGCCTTTCCCATGTGCTCAAATCCTTCCTGACCCTTGCCAGTTGCAGGGAAGAGTGAGGGGAGACAGAAATGCCACTGGCCTCACTAGCTCCCTCTGCTCCTGCAGATAGAGCCACAAATCCCCTGAACAAGGAGCTGAACTGGGCCAGCATCAACGGTTTCTGCGAGCAGCTCAACGAGGACTTTGAGGGGTAGGTGGCTCCACTTGGCTTACACACTCAACACAGTACATTGTGTCCCTGTCAGGCAGATCCGGAGCCTGGTCTTGGGCAGGCTAGAAACCCAGTTCCTATTCTGAATGCAGTCACAGTTAACAAGGACAGTGGCACTTTTTGCTGGAGGCTACATATGTGCCACCCTCTTGAGGAAACCTTCCTGGACCTGTTTTATAAATGAAGAAAGGCTATGCTGTTTGCTCTTGACTCTCACCAGGACACTGACAGTCGGAAGCTTGATCAAATCTAAACCTAGTATGTGACTGATGACTTATTGGGGGCCTTTAAGAGGGCAGGCTACACCGTCCCTAGCAGGTCCTTCATGTAAGAAAGAACTAGTAATGTACATGTGACTGCCCCTAGAAGTGATTCCTCGAGGGCTTGGATTGGACATGCCTAGGTTCCCTGGTGCTGGATCACAGCGACTAAGTCACAGTGCACTGTCTCTCTAGCAGCTCTTGGTTTGGGGTTCATGGGCATTGGGGCAAACAAACCCCACCTCTGATTAGTCCTGGGGAAGTCACTTACCACTCTGAGCCTCACTCTCCTCAGCTGGGGCCTGGCACTGGCAGTACTGCATATGTAGGGGTTACCAGGGTTTCCTGCCACTGAGGAAAGCAAGGAGCAGAGATGCTTGTGAGCCACCTTGCATGGCCTCAGCACTCAGGCTGCGGCTACCTGTTCTTCCCATCCCCTGTGCAGGCCAAGGGCACAGCTGCTTTTGCTTTTGGTGATGATGAATTTGAACTCGGGGTCTCACTCACCTATGCTAGGCAGGTGCTCTATCAGTAAGCAATATCTCCAGTCCCATGTCATAGCTCTTAAAACCAAAAGGGGCTAAGTTTATACCTCTTAAAGGTCCCTGCCTACACTGGTTGCCTGGCACTGACTGTCACCATCCCGGGTCCTGTTTGATCTGGAGAGAGATGGGCCTTTGTGCTTCGCAGGGTCAGTAGAGTGTAAAACTACACCTGTTCCAGTCTGCACTCTACTCGCCACGTGCTACTGGAATGAGGCTGAGAATTTAAAATCATAGACAGACAGACAGGCAGACAGACAGGGCCATAGGGATATCCTTGAAGCAAGAATGCCCACTTTACTGTGCTCAGGGGCAGCTTATTGGGGCTCTGGCCTCGCCCCAGCTCTCGGGATCTTTCAGCAGCAGACTCATCCGAACCCACTCCCCTGCCATCAGGGTCTCTGCTCAGAGCAGAGGAAAGCAAGTTGTTTACAAGAAATTCAAGGTCTGGTGGCCCGCAGAGGACTGAAGTGCAGGCTGACATGTGACTGTGACTGTCCCTTTGAGTGAATCAGGTACCATGTCAGTCACGACTCTGTTCCTTCCATCCAGGCCTCCACTTGCCACCCGCTTGCTGGCCCACAAGATCCAGTCCCCGCAGGAGTGGGAGGCCATCCAGGCCTTGACGGTAAGAAAAGATCCTGGGGTTCCATGAGCCCAAGGGAATTGTGACCAGGTGATCCAGGATATAGGTCTGGGCCAGTCCTCAGGGTTCCCAGCAGCAGCCACTGGGCTAGCCTCCTGTCACAACTGGGCCTCTAATGGTGGTGGCAGGGATTCTCTACTTCAGCTGCCTAGTGGACCCCTCCCCAGGATAAATGTTAAATACAGTCAGGGCCCACAGCATGCATGGTTTGGGGTCTGTGTTTATAAAGTTCCTGGGTTCTCTGCAAAGGTCACCCAGGCCACACAGGATCTGCAGACCCTGGACAATACCATCCTCTTCAGTGAGAGCAAGGCTCAGGATTGAGATTTCATAGCTATACCAGGAACAAAAGAGGTGGGCCGCTGTCTGTGATTCCCTGCACAGCCCACATACCAGCTACCTTAGAGTAAGCTTGTCTGAGGCCAGGTGAAAATTGCTCTAAGTAACTATACATGTTCCAACATGTTAGTTTTTGTTTGGGGTTTCTTCCTCAAGTATGCAAGGATCTTGTGATTTCACAGGTTTGGGAAAGGCCAGAGTAGTACTAAATTGTTTTGTAAAAGAAGAAAAATAGCCAGGCAGTGGTGGCACACACATTTAAGGCAGAGACAGGTGGATCTCTGTGAGTTCAAGGCCAGCCTGATCTACAGAGTGAGTTCCAGGACATACAGGGCTACAGAGTAAAACCCTGTTTCAGAAGAAGAAGAAAAACAGTAAAAAGGCCATGTACAAGTGATACATGGCCCAAACCACGGAGGAGCCTGTGGTCATCCTGTAGCTTGAGCAGAGCTTGTCTGTGGGAGACTTCTGACTCCGTGCTCTAGGGAGTGATGAGCAATCGCAGAGACCTCTGAGCCTCTGCACCTGTGCCCTCAAGGGTCCTTCCCTTATTCTGGGCACTGACCAGGTCAGGAACTCCCTCACTCCTCCCTTCCCAGGTTCTGGAAACATGCATGAAGAGCTGCGGCAAGCGGTTTCATGACGAGGTGGGCAAGTTCCGCTTCTTGAATGAACTCATCAAGGTCGTGTCTCCCAAGGTGCGTCCTAGCCAAGGCTTGAAGTGCTGGGTCTGATGGGGGGTGCAGAGAAAGGGTCCCTGGGGCTTTCCCTGTTAGGGGCCTGGCAGAGTCAGGACAGCCTGGCTGCTGAGGAACCACTCAGTACACAAGGAGAGCCAATCCCAGGGCATACACATGCTGTCATTGGGTGTGCCCAGCCCAGGTTTCTTAGGTGTTTGACATTTCTTTCTGTCCCCATCACCTAGATGTGGTTTCCTTGAGTCTCAGCATCTAAAGCCACAAACCTGAGTCAGTTATGTTAGCAAATGAGCCACACCTTGGCCACTGGCCTTTGGCCTGAGAAATCTTCTCATAGGTTGAGTGCATATTTGATGCCCAGCCCCCTTGCCTGTCCTCTGAACAGAGCTCTGAGTGGGCCGGGCAGCCCCATGTCTCCCAGTAGAGAACTGTGCAGTGAAAGTCTCTTGGCCTAGTTTGCTGCTGGAAATGATGTGTGGGGGCTCATAGCTGCACATGAGCCCTTCCCTCCACACCTGGAACCCCAGGCCCCTTGCTGAGGTCACAAGGTTCAGGTCCATGTGCTCTGAGCAGGATTTCCTGCTCTGGACCTTGAAGATCCACATGCCCACAATGAGGAACCTGAATCACAGACCCAGAGGTGGTTCAGCTAAGAACTGATCTCAGTTTACACCAGGCTAGTTGCAGGGCATTTGAAGGCGTTGGCAGCACCTGGGAGGCTTAGGGCTCGAGTGAGTGGGGCTGAGCGGTCTCAAACAGCTCCCCTTCTGTATGTCTCTGAAGTACTTGGGCTCCCGAACGTCAGAGAAGGTGAAGAATAAGATCTTGGAGCTACTGTACAGCTGGACAGTCAGCCTGCCTGAGGAGGTGAAGATTGCAGAAGCCTACCAGATGCTGAAGAAGCAGGGTGAGCGTATCCCCACCCCAGGGTGTCAGGGACCAGAAACATTCCATACCTGCAGCTCAGGCTCCAGCAGCCTCGGGCTCTGTCAGCAAGGTCACAGGGCTTCCCTTAATGTCTCCAACACAACCAGCGGGGCCTCTCTGTGGCTATGCCTAAGGCCAACTTGAATGAAAAGAAAGGTGGTATGGGGTCAATCTTTCCTTCAGAGGGTGTCCTCAAAACATGGGTGCCCAGGAGCCAGGGATGTAGTTCAACTGGTAGAATGCTTGCTTAGCATATATGAAGCTCTGGGTTCCAAACACTCCAGGTGTGTGGTGCACAGCTAGTATCCCAGCACTTAGGAAGGGGGCAGGAGGACCCGAGGTTCAAACGCCACCCTGGCTAGTGAGTTAGGAAGGGTTACATGATAGCCTTTCACAAAAAGTATGTGTAGGGCTGGGAGATAGTTCAGCAGTTAAGAGCACTTGCTGCTCTTCCAGAGGACCGAATTCAGTTTCCTCTACTCCTAAAGTGGCTCACAAGTACTTGTAACTCCAGCCCTAAGGGAGTTGATGCTTTTGACCTCCACAAGCACATACCCACATGGAGACACAGACATCGATCACATCATACATAATTAAAAATAAATCTTTAAAAACTAAAAAGGAACTATTATTTAAATCATATTTGTATAAATTGCAAATATATTAATATATATTGGACCCAAACCATCTCTGATGGAGTTCACTGTGCAGGCCAGAAGTAGTCCCATTGCCAGGTGGTGGTGGCACATGCCTTTAATCAGCACTCAGATGACAGATTAAGGTGAACCTCTTTGAGTTCAAGGCCAGCCTAATCTACAGAGCAAGTTACGTGGAAGGCTACAGGGCCACACAGAGAAACCTTGTCTTGGAAAAAAAAAAATACTCCTGTCCCGGTGAGCCAATGAAAGATTAACCTCCCTTCTGTAAGCCCCTGGAGCCACGAATGGCCATGCCCCTCCCCCAAGAACCTCTAACTGCCCTCACTGCTGGACCCTGACCCCACCCTACAGAGTAAAAAGCCCAATCTCTGACCACAAAACCCCACCAATCTTCACCCTGGAAAGCTCCACCTTTCAAAGTTCTACCCACTTCCCAAGAAACTCTATATAAGTCCTGTATCCTGTTCAGTTTGCTGCTGTTTCTCGCCTGAGCAGAGGCAGCCACCCTCCTGGTTCTTTTCCTCCTAATAAGTCTCTTGTGTAAGGTTTATTGTTCCATGTGACTTTGTGATATTCCTTGGCTCCTGGCTGCCAGGATACCTTTCCATCCAAGCTGTAATGCTTACATTGGTGCCGTTACTCAGATAGACTCCCTTGGTTACCCCTTTGACCTAGCCACCTTATTCTCATATCCCCCTCCTACTACCCCTGGTCCTGACACCTACTGACAGCCTTCCTAACCCTGTCTTCCCCAGGCATTGTGAAGTCTGACCCCAAGCTTCCAGAGGATGCCATCTTTCCCGTTCCCCCTCCACGGCCCAAGAATGTGATCTTTGAAGATGAGGAGAAGTCCAAGGTAAGGCAGAGTGGCAGCCTGGGTGTCAAGGCTTCTGCCCTCTAGAGTAGAAGCTCGTGCCAAATGTGATCCCTGTGGAGGTGACTGTGGGAGGAAGCAGCACTTAGTGTCTGCTGAATACACTGACCCATACAAGCATCTGCATTCAGTAAGCACAGTTTGTGATCCAGGGTTGGTTGAGGAGCTGCAATGCTTTATGTCTTTCTATACCAGCTGACTAGCTTTTAGCTAAAGGAGCATTTGTTTGGAGGGGAGCTGTTGAAATAAGGATTTCAACCCTTCCCTACCCAGCCCCCAAGGCTACCACTGTGGTTTCTGGTGTGTCCGCCTGGAGGTTTCCAAAGCCACAGTGCTCTAGGGAGGGCTGTGTGCTGAGGGCATCCTTCAGTGCTCTGTGGGGAGTGCGTGCAGTATCTTGCTTATCTGAATGGACACCCATCAGATGTCAATCAGTTTTCACCATTTTACCCAGAGCTTTAGTATCTTGCCCAGGTCCCACATACAGTCACTAAAGAAACGGGTTGGGATTGTAGATTCTGGCCTGGTACTGCCCTCAGTCACTTGCTTGTCTCTGCAGATGCTGGCTCGCCTGCTGAAGAGTTCACACCCTGAGGATCTCCGGGCTGCCAACAAGCTTATTAAGGAGATGGTGCAGGAGGTGATGGCTGGCCTGGGGTACCAGGAAAGAAGGGATGGGTGTGGAGCTAGGCAACCAAGCAGGAGGAGCTGTGTATATGTGTACATATGAGGCCCCATAGTGCCCAGCAGGACAATTGCCACAGCAAAGAACCATCAGGTGCTAAGAGGCTGATGTTTAGTGGGAAGAACTGCTGCTGTGTGTGAGTTCCTGGGGGCTAATATTTGTTAGTAATGAGACCAAGAATTGGTGGCATGCACCTGTATATAGTCCTGGAACTCCAGAGGCTGAGGCAGGAGGATTGTGAGGTTGAGGCTAATCTGGGCCATGTAGCAAGACCCTGTCTCAGAAAAAAGAAAAAGAAATTTGAGAGCCAGCAAGATGGCTCAGTAGGTATAGGTATCTGCTGTCAACCTGAGCTGGATATCTGAGGATACACGTGGTGCAAAGAAAGAAGCAACTCCCACAAGTTGTCCTTACTTCCACGTGCACACTAGGGCACATGTACTCCCACATATACACATATAAGTAAGTAAATGCACACATTCGAAGAAGTACTTTGGGAACATATTGGGCCTATAGCTTAGTGGTGGAACTCTTTTCTGACTTACATGAGGTCCTGGTGTCCATTCTCAGCATATACCCCCAAACAAATTGAATCATAAAGTATTTATTAAATATATATGTAACTATATATGTATGTATATAGATGTGCATATACAGAGCAAAACACAGATGTTAATATATGATTAATATGTAAATTAATATATTTTGGAAGTGTATACTGAAACTTAATAAGGCCAGATCATCCAAAAAGATGTTGAAGACTGGGTGTGCTAGTGCACACCCTTAATCCTAGCACTTGGGGGGCAGAGGCAGGTGAATTTCTGTGAGTTCAAGGTCTATATAGTTCTAAGACAGTTGGGGCTGTGTATAGAGAGACAAGACACTCAAAACAGAAACAAAAAATTTAAAAAGTATTCAGGATGGGCAAAGTGACTGACACCTCTAGGTCCCAACACTGGAAAGGTCAAGACAAGACGGTAGCCTTAACTTGAATTCCAGGCCAGCCTGATCTACAGAGTGAAACTTTATCACAAACCAAACTAAAGATTTCAGATTAGCACTTAGTAGCACAAACAGAAGAGGCCAAATGTAACACAGCTCTCTAGGCTAAGGATTGGCAGCTGGGGAAATAAAGGCTCAAGGCCTCAAGGTAGATACCTCTGAGGCAGAGACAGCCCTTCATGTACCTAGGATTTCTACTCGCCTGCAGCCCTGTGTATCTAGATCATCGGGTGATTTTTTTTCTTTCTTTGAAAATGTAGACTTCAAGCCAGGCATAGTAGCACAGGCCTTCAATCCCAGCACTCAGGAGACAGAGGCAGGCAGATCTCTGTGAGTTTGGGGTCAGCCTGGTCTGCAGAGCGAGTTCTAGGGCTGTTAAGCAGAGAAACCCTGTCTCAAAAAGCAAAAACAAAAAGGAAAATGCAGACTTCTACCTCAAGTCTCCCAGATCACTAATGATAGCAGCATAGGCATTTTCCCGGTGTTTTAAAAGTGTGTTTCTCACAGAAACCGCTAGTTCACTCTTCCTCAGAGGCAAGATCTAGTCATGCAAGTTGGCCAGACTAAGCCTGGGTCTCAGCTTGACTGTCAGGGGCTGTTTTTTGGTTCCCTGCAGCAGGAGAGCGTGTGTTACAGGCCTGGATGACTTATGTTCAGGTTGTGATAAAGGAGCAGGCCATGTGAGACCACTCTGAACATACTCACCTCCTGCAGCAGAGAGATGTAGATGGGTTGGAGAGAGTGAGGTGGCCTCCTACAGCTGCCTTCGAAGGCTGTGTGTCCTCCACACTCGCCAGGCACCTAAAGACACAAGGAAGGACTTGTTTCTGGGTTGTGAGTGCTGACCAGGACCCTTTGCTTTCACTGTCAAGTGTGGGAACATGGTCTTCAAGAGACAGACATAGGGAGGGCAAGAATAGCCCAGGACCGTAGGCCATGAGTCTGGAAACTGTTGAGGTGATCTAGGGCCACCGCTGGATTGGAGACTCTGGCAGAAGAGTCGGAAGTGGCACAATAGTGGTAGACTGCTTCTTGAACAGAGTACCTGTCCTGAGTGGCAAGCTCTTAGCAGGACTTGGCCACACAGAGCTGAAATCATGCCCATCCAGCTCTCCTCCCGCACTCACGTCCCATCTCCAGGGCCAGTGGCAGGCCTGAAACAGCCTCTGACCATTTGCTGCTCCACAGGACCAGAAGCGGATGGAGAAGATCTCAAAGCGGGTGAATGCCATTGAGGAGGTCAACAACAACGTGAAGCTGTTGACCGAGATGGTGATGAGCCACAGCCAGGGTGCCGCATCCAGCAGCAGTGAGGACCTCATGAAGGTGAGCCTGCTCCAGCCCCCTCCCATTCTGCTCCCGAGCCCCCTGAGTACTCCCGAGCCCCCTGAGTACTCTCATCCACTCACCCTGTTCCCCCAGGAACTGTACCAGCGCTGTGAGCGCATGCGGCCCACACTCTTCCGATTGGCCAGTGACACAGAAGACAATGATGAGGCCTTAGGTGAGTCCCCAGGTCACTGAGATCAGGTCCAGCCCTGTCCCTTACCTCCCACTTCAGGCCCTGCTAGACACCCACAGTTGGAAAGAGCCACCACAAGGGGGCCCCCTTTCTCTAGCACTGACTTGAAAAGGCCACAGATCGCAGAGAACAATGTCCTGAGCAGGCATCTCATCTCCTGCCCAGGAGGGGGAGCTCTCCCTATTTCCCAGCTGGGGTTCAACAAACAAAATGACTAGCTCAGGTCTCAGAGCACCAGTGTGGCAGCTCATCCCCCCTCGACCTCTCAGGCCCTCTGTTACCTTGCTGTCTCACTCTCCTCCCTGCTTGACTGTGCCCTGCACATTCTGGGTACATTTCCACCTACAAGCCTCAACACCAGCTTAGCTCTCTGGACCCCATAGATGCAGTGGATTACATGGCTCTTCCCCCTCACATACCCTTTGGGGTGGATGTGGGAGGCTCCTCTCACTTCTCCAGAGGCCCCACCACTTCTTTAGCCTGACCTCTCCCCTCCATTCCTATTCCAGCTGAGATCCTGCAGGCTAACGACAATCTCACCCAGGTGATCAACCTGTACAAGCAGCTGGTCAGGGGTGAGGAGGTCAATGGCGATGCCACAGCCAGCTCCATTCCTGGTGAGAAGAGAGGAGAAGTGCTGCGGGGGGAGGAAAGGCAGAGTGCAGGGGGGAATGACCTTCAGTGTGACCCTGGCCCCTTAAGACCGTGAAGGTCCCAAGAAGGGAGCTGAGGCATTCTGTGGCAAGCCTAAAACTGTCGGGGAAGGAAGCCCAAAGTTGCCATGGAGCAGAAGGAAGGTTTTCTTTGATATATCCGGCGCCAGCTGTGTGGAGCTGAATCATACCCTAGGCCTGATTGTAGAAAAGGAAAGAGCTTTAGACATAGACATGCAGACCATTCGGAAAATGGCAGTGTGGTGTGTGAGGGTGGGGCACAGGAGATGCTAGCGGTGAGTGGCCCTTGGAGGGTGGGAGCACCTTCCAGAGGCAGTCAAGCATGAGTGGAACCTTCGGGTAGAGAGCAGCAGTGATCTAAGGCTGTGTGTGTCAGAGTCTTGGCTGCCTTAGTTGGTATCACTGCATTCACGCTGATGCCACATTTCTGGCACATCCCTGACCTTCAGCTAAGCTGATTGCATTCTAAACACAAGTGCCATCTGCCAAAGAAAGGGCTTGGCAGGCCATTTGAACAGGGCTGGAGTGGCCAGAAGGGCCCAGGAGGCCTGTTGTAAGGAGTAGAGAATGAAGACAGCTGTCCCCACCCATGCTGTGCTGAGTGGCCCCAGGACTTGCCCAGCTCTCCTTTCCACTCAGGGAGTACCTCAGCCCTGCTGGACCTCTCAGGCCTGGACCTCCCTCCCTCGGGCACCACATACCCAGCCACGCCCACCCACCCTGGCAACCAGAGCAGTCCAGAGCAGCCCAGTGCCTCAGTGTCCCTGCTTGATGATGAACTCATGTCTCTGGGTAAGGAAGAGGGCAGTACAGGGGAAGAGGGCGGTGCAGGGGCAGCCTGTGGGCGCCAGCTCTGCTCTCCACTGGAAGGCTGGCGGAGGTCATGGTGCAATCAACGTGCCTTCGCTGTACTGGGTAAAGCCGGGGCTCGCGGAGACTAAGAACAAGGTCTGCCTGGCAGAAGGCAAGGCTGGCCGGCTCTGGCTGCCTGGCAGAGGAGGGTGATTTCTGGAGTGGAGCTGTCCTGGGAAGGATCAGCAGTTTCTCCAGACAGGAAGGACAGGATTTAGTAAGCTCCACTCCTAGTGAAGAACGCTAGAAGTATAAGCAGTGTACACTGTTGTCTTTAGGCCTTTTGTTTGTTTGGTTGGTTGGTTGGTTGGTTGGAGTTTTTTTGTTTGTTTTTGTGGGTTTTTTTTTTTTTTTTTTTTTTTTTTGAGAAACAGTTTCTGTGCGGTCCTGGCTGTCCTAGAACTCACTCTGTAGACCAGGCTGGCCTCCAACTCAGAGATCTGCCTGCCTCTGCCTCCCGAGTGCTGGGGTTAAAGGCGTGTGCCACCACACACCCTTCTCTGTGGTCTTAAAGGAATGCCACAGGGAAGACCTGACAGTTGCTGGAGACTGCTTGCTAAAAATACAGGGCAAGCATGGCTGAGGTGTTCAGGATAGACAGGGCTGATGCTGGCTTTCCTGCCAGCCAAGGGATAGTCCCCAGTGCCCTCCAGCACCAGGTAGTTGGCCTTGTTGACCTATGCCAGAGACTTCAGAGTCGACCTGATCTATCATGCCATTGCCCATGTGGACCCGGGCTCTCCCAGGGTAGCAATGGACACGGATTCACACAGGGTAGCAATGGACACGGGTTCACACAGGGTAGCAGTGGACACGGGCTCTCCCAGGGTAGCAGTGGACACGGGCTCTCCCAGGGTAGCAATGGACGCGGGATCTCCCAGGGTAGCAATGGACATGGGCTCTCCTAGGGTAGCACTTGCCTGTAGATGGTTTCCTGGACCTGTGAGCTCTGAGACTCTTGCTCTCCTTACTACCTCAGCTCCTGCTCCTAGCTGCTGAGGGACAGAGGTTAAAGTTCCAACTTCTGCCCATAAGCTGGCTTCTGTAAGGCCTTGCCAGGAAGAGAGGAAGCAAGTGTGGGCTGCAAGTTGGCTGTTGGGACAATGGTTTCTATTTTTGCTCTGCCACTGGTTCCCTCTGAAAGCGTGGGTTTTACTCCTGAGCCTCTAAGAAAGGGAGGGATCAGACATTGTTAGTCTTTAGCTCACCAGTCCAACCCCCTGTCTTGCTTTCTCTGCAGGCCTAAGTGATCCCACTCCACCTTCAGGCCCCAGCTCAGATAGTGTGGGATGGAACAGCTTCCAGGTAAGAATGCTGAAGCTGGCTCAGCCTGTGACACACCCAGGGGTAGAGGGCTGGAGCCAGTAGCCTGAGGGGTGACAAACAGCCAGGTGGGTACCACGCAAGGCTCCCTGGGGCAGGGCAGTTCCACCCTAGGGAAGAGCCCAGCAGTCTCTTCTAACTTCCAGCAGAGATCAGTCTCTGGTCCCTGACAAGACCACAGCCCAGCCTTCAAGGTTAAGCTGGGGGCTCTTCTTCCCTTAAAGGTGACTCGGGGTCACACTGTGGGGGTTCCACAGGGTGGAGCTCTAGCCAGGCCCAGTGGTCTGTTGTCCTCTCTGCTGCAGCTTTCTCATCTGTCACCTGCAGGGAGGGGAGGGCATCAGTGCCCGGGTGGTAACTGGGACACTTGAGAGGTTCTTACCCTGTCTCCTTCTCCTCCAGTCATCAGATGGCATGGAGCCCTCAGTCCCTCCTCCAGCCCAGGCCCCCAGCATGGACTGCCGACCTCCGGCACAGGCACCCCCACCAACAAGCAGCGGCCTGGACGACCTGGACCTCTTGGGGAAAACCCTCCTGCAACAGGCACTGCCCCCAGAGGCCCAGCAAGTGCGGTGGTGAGGGCTGCTATTGTCAGGGCTCTCCCTCTCCCCACAAACCAGCAGGGAATCATCCATCACCCTAGTTCCTGGGATCCCAGCATGTTGGATCACCCACAGTGACGAGGGTTTCATGCCACAGAGTTGATGAGTTGTGCCTGCCAACATGCCCCCTAGAGAAAGATAAAGGGGGGGGGGTCAGTCAACATGAGAGGCTGCTGAGGCAAAGATGCTCTCGCTGCAGGTGAGGATGCCCAGGGCTAAAGACACTGACCTGCAGCCACAGAGCTTGGTAGCTCAGACCTCCAGGGCCCCTACCAAGAGCACCAGAAAGTCACTCACTAATGTACTGTTCCCATTAAGGGAGAAGCAGCAGCCAGCCCCCCGGCTTACCCTCCGTGACCTGCAGAGTAAGAGCAACTGCAGCTCGCCCAGTCTAGGAACCGCCAGCCTTCTCCACAACACATCCCCGGAGCCCCCTGGGCCTCCACCACAGCCAGCACCCACCGAGCTCTCTTTAGCCAACATCACTGTGCCCCTGGAGTCCATCAAACCCAGTGAGTGGGGATAGGTGGGTGGGAGGGCCGAGCCAGGCCAGCTCTTGTCCCCAGGGCTTGCCGCTGCTGACTCCGTGCAACCCTGTACTAGGTCTCCCCTTCCTAGAGTGATGCAAGGCTGCTTTCTAATCTCTGGGTCACAGAAGAGGGGACTCCTTAGAGTTGAACCCTGACCCTTCCTTCCTAGAGAAGGCAGGGGCCAGAACTAGAAGGTTCCTATAAGATTATAAAATTGAACCTCAAAGAAACATTCAGACCTAAGCCCCCAGGCATTTCTCACCCAGGAGCAGGTGGTAGCACTGGCTGACACTTGACCTGAGTTGACAACTAGCCAGGCCTGCCTTGACAGTCTCAGAAGCTGTGACCAAGAGTATCACACCTTCCCTAACCTCCTTACCAGTAGAACTGATCCGCAGCCCAAAGAGTGTCTGACCCAGACTTTGACAGGAGCTCTTGACCCTAGCCTAGGAGGAAACCTTGCTGTGACTTGACTTGGCTCCAGAGTGGGCATCTTGCCTCCATTGTCTGATCCCAGTGTGCCTTCAGCCCCAGTGGAGGCCAAACCCTGGGTGAGGGGCAGATAGGCTCCACCCATTCATCATCCTCCAACCTTTCTCCCAACAGGCAGCATCTTGCCAGTGACCGTTTATGACCAGCATGGCTTCCGCGTCCTCTTCCACTTTGCTCGGGATCCCCTGCCAGGGCGCTCTGATGTGCTGGTGGTGGTGGTCTCCATGCTGAGCACCGCTCCCCAGCCCATCCGCAACATTGTTTTCCAGTCAGCTGTCCCTAAGGTGACAGGGCAGACCAGGCAGGCCTTCCTCCCTCAACGCAGAGTGACCTGAGACTTGGTGGACAGCCAGCTGGCTGGGCATGGTGGGGGACAGGATCTCCCTCATTGGGGAGCTGGGGGAAGGGCGGTGGGAAGAGATCCCTGAGACCCTGGGAGGGGAGCTGGTTCCTCAGCAGTGGCGGCCTGACCAGCTGTACACTTCCTGCCCCCAGATCATGAAGGTGAGGCTGCAGCCACCTTCCGGCACAGAGCTGCCAGCATTTAACCCCATCGTCCACCCCTCAGCCATCACCCAGGTCCTGCTCCTTGCTAATCCCCAGAAGGTGAGGGCCCAGCTATGACAGGGCAGTGCCCCAGGGTGGTACTGGCCTCTTTTTTTCCTGTTCTAACCCCTGTGCTTCTGCCATTTGTGCCCCAGGAAAAGGTTCGCCTTCGCTACAAGCTCATCTTCACCATGGGCGACCAGACCTACAATGAGATGGGCGATGTGGATCAGTTCCCCCCACCAGAAACCTGGGGGAACCTCTAGGACAGGGGGCCTGGAGAGAGGAGAGGCAGCAGGACCTATTCCTGTTCAGCCTGGTGCTTCTCTCCTTCCTGTGGCCCCCAATGACTCTTCCTTCTCCCTAGGCCTCTTCTTCTGCTGAGCCCAACCCGACAGGAGGCTGGGCCTGGGCTTGCCATAGCTGCTGGGACCCCCATCACCAGTGGGAGCCTGAGACAGGGAGGGCCTCTGTGCCCTGGAAGGACTCTCGGGAGTGAGGGAAGAAGCATGGCCGTTAGGCCCAGCCCTGACCCCAGCCTGAGGTGGGGTCTTCCCCACCTGTCTTTTATGCCTTATAGAAAGGCCCAGCCATAACTTGGAGGCCATGCTGGAGCTGGGACCAGCCCAGGCCTCCTCTGTGGGAACCCAGTGACTGGGGGTGTTGCCCGTGCCCTAGCTGTTTGCACTCGGTGTGTGGTTTGGCTCTTTGCTTTTCTTTTGGAACGGCCCTGTGGTCACAGAGCTGAAGGCGCTCCACTCAGCTCCTCCTCTGGAGGCCTCCTTTTGCTCTCAGGCCTCCTATGGGGCAATGGCAACTTAAAAGCAAAGCCAGAGGACATGTCCCCCTGGAGGGCCATGGAGCTCCCAGAGTTCCATGCTTCATTTATCAGTGCTGGGGTCTCCTGTGAGCACCTTGCATCTGCCCACCCATCTGTGGTCAAAAGTAGGGTCAGTGTGGGTGACAGTGGGAGTATTTATGAAAATAAAATGACCTTTTCCTGGAGTAGCCGTTCTTGTCACCCCTGTGAGACTGAGGGAGGCAGAGAAGGTCCAGGAGTTGGGGGCCTAAGGACTGCCCTATAGTCTTGTCCCCATCTCCCACCTGTCCTAGCCCCTCAGGTCTGCGCCAGAAGAGGCCCTGCTGGGGGCCTGTGGTTGCTGAGTCTCTCAGGAAGCATTGGTCTGTGGTGACCCAGAGCCGTCCCGGCTGGAAATGAGGAGACCACTAGGAGGTTCAGCTGGTGCAGAAGTTGCAGGGAAGCCCTGGCTGCTCACTTCCTCCTGCTGCAGATTCTCTTGCTAGGCTCTTGCAGCCCCAGGTGCTGCTCTGGGAAGCAGGGCCCCTACAACAGATGCACTCTGCCTACCCCAGGAGCCCCGCGCTACACCCACTCCCAGCTATCCTCACCTCTCCTGGCATGATAAAGGGCTGTACCCATGCAGGTTGCTGAAGCCACATGGCTAGGAGAATCTGCCAGTGGGGTGCAGTGAGGAGCTGACGTAGAGCCCCAGAACTACATGAAGAGAGCCCCTGCACAGTGCAGGTGGCCCACTCTCCTGTGAGCAGCTGATTGTTGCAGACACCAGGAAGTCCCACATCTGAGAAAACACTTTCGCTTTGTCTCATCTGCCAGTTCCTAATCTGAAGTTGGCTACTAAAACCCTTTCCGTAGATCCTATGAAGACCTTCTGCACATGACACAGCTCCCTGAGTCCCATGGGAGGAACTCCTGGCAGCCCCACGCTGCACATACCCAGTGAAGGCATCTCGGGGCGGACCGTACAGCAAAATGACAGGAGGCAACAGCCCCTCTGAGCCTCTTCTGACCAGACTCCACTGTGTGACTCAGCTGATGGCCTGTCCTAGCACCTGTCCTTTCTGCAAAGGGCCTCAGAGTCGTGTCCATTATAATCTTGTTTGATGACCTCTGGATGGGTGAGGGTTGGCATGAGGTCATAGGACCATGAATTGGTGTGCTGGTTCCAAAGCCACTCACTGGCTTGTTCTCCCTTTCTAGGTTCCTTGTGTAAACGGGTCACAAGGTAGATGCCAAAAAAGCCAATAAGGCCCCTTTGAGGGAATCTATAGGCCCAAGAGCCCAGGCTTCGTAAGGGTATCCCTTCAATTTCCTGGCCCCACGCTACCTCTGGCCTTGGCCTAGTTGTCTGGTGCAGCTCTTGAGCAGTCCCATGGCTGATATGGCCTATCAAAATCTGGTAGGAAGTAGAGAGACTGGAGCCCAGCATGGCACTCTCAGGGAGTGGGGGACAAGGGGCATCCCTAGAGGTCTGCATCTGTCTTAGCATGGGGACCCTGGGAAGCATCTTCTCTGTCTCTTAAAAGATGAACTCCATCACCACACCAAGCCAGTGGGACTTCCCAGACCTCAAAGCCACACTTCCACTTATGGGACACTAGCCAGAGCCAGCAGTTAATTCTTTAGTAACCACAATGCAGGCTGCTTATCTTTTAGCAGAAGCCAAGAGTGATGGAGAGGTCTCTGCTGCCCTAGGGCACCCTCTGTGGCCTCTACTCCCAGCGTAGGCAGAGGAGCCACCTACCCTGGCATGCTGCTGGGCCTGCTGCCTGCAGCTTCCCCTTCCCCCCGTGCCTTGAGTCCTCAGAGCTGTCCTGTGAGCCTGAGACTACCAGCAGAGGAGGAGGTGGTCATCAAGACTGCAGATTGTTCTGGCCACCTGGGCCTGCTCTCCAGCTTTGTCAGCTGCTCCCCTTTGCTCCCAGCTGTGGCCAAGAGCACACATTGCTCCGGGGCTAGCAGTGGCAGGTGGAGTCCTGCCTCAGCCCCACCCTAGGGTTCCTGAAAAGGCTCTTCGACCTGTGGAAGTGGGAGTGGGCAAGGGCGTTACCAGAGCCCCAGGAAATACACCTGTGCTGGCTGCTGTGGGCAGAAGCCTCTACTTGGAAGCTTTCCAGTATTGCCACAATCAAGCCATGTGGCAAAGTGTCTCAGCTGGTAGGACAAAGCTAACAGCCTCCACCCCAGCCTGCCTACTGGCTACCCTGACCACATCCGCTCAAGTCTCACTAGCAGATGCCAGCCAGACTGTCGCAGGGATGGCAGACAAGTCTGTGTGGAGGCTGGTCGGTCCTTCAGTGGCCACACTGACGGCAGGAGCAATGGCCTGAGGGAGTTTCCAGTCAATGCCATGTGTGCAGCAGAAAGGCTGTGGCTCCTAGGCCTTAGGTCTGTCCTCTGACCCGGCCTCCACCACACAGCTAAGTGGTGTGCACATCCGCTCCAAGACCCTGGGTCTACATATCTGCCAAACAGAGGCAAAGATAGCAACCTTAGGGGAGGGTGAGCTCTGCTGTCTTAAGGCAGCTGGACATATTTCAGGAGAGACTGAGGCAGGGATGGTCAAGGCTCTTGTCACTCCTGACTTCCGGTGGTTGAGTAATGACTGTAACAGCAGGTAGTGCCAGGCACTTTTCTGAGAATTTTATATGCTTAATTCTTGTAATCCTATTAAGCTTGTGCTGTTTGTGGCTGAGGGGTGAGCTGTCTTATCCATTCAGTTAGTGTGCTGCTGAGAGACATTTCCCCCAAGTCCCATGGCTGTTCTTTGGGGATGCAGGTAATCACTGACCTGATATTCTCCAAGTCAGTCATGACACCATACTGCTGAGCTACTGAGCCCCAGAGGGCTCAGCCGTGAGCTGGACAAGACCACACTGGGTGGCTCTCCACTCGAGTCAACAGGCCCATAGTTTGGGAAAGGGCCAGGGAGGGGTTAGCTGGTGACCTCTGAAGTACTTCTTCTGTACCGGCCTAAAGTCTGTGGTCCTTTCCAGTGGCTCCTGTCAGCCTATACCTGTAATATCTGCTACTGGGGAGATAAGAGCATTGCAAGTTCAAGACCAACTGGGCAGCTTAGCAAAACTTTCTCCCAGAATATAAAGAAGGGCTAGCAAAGTGGCTCAGTGGGTAAAGGTACCCGCCATGAAGCATGAGGACCCAAGTTCGAGCCCTGGGACCAACATGGTGGAAGAAGAGAAATGACTTCCATAAGCTGCCCTCTGACCTCCCCATGAGAGTAATGTCTGCACATGTGCACACACGCAGACACTAAATTAAAAAATGTGGTTAAGGGAGCTAAGGTAAAGGTTGCTCTTCCAGAGAACCAGGTTCGATTCCCAGCATCCACATGGTGGCTTGCAATGATCTGTAATTCCAGTTCCAGGGGATCCAACACCCTTTTCTGGCCTCCAAAGGGACTGCACACTCACGATACATAGACATACATGCAGGAAAAACACATGTACATATAAAATGAAATTAAATTTTTTTTTTTAAATTTTCTGGGCAGTGGTGGCACATACCTTTAACCCCAGCACTCAGGAGGTAGAGGCAGGTGTATCTCTGAGCGTTTGAGGTCAACCTGGTTTACAGAGGAGTTCTGGAACAGCCAGGGCTATAAAAGAGAAACCCTGACTTGAAAAACAAAAATAAATTTTTAAAAAAGTTAAGTAAAAAGAGATCTGAGGCTGGGACTTGGTGGTGGAGCCCTTGCCAAGCAGCACGAAGCCTTGGGTTTGATCCCTGGT